AACCTCCACTAATGACCACCTACAATGGCTGCCTCTCCACAACAGCCACATTTTTTGGTCCCAGTAGACAGTTCATCCATTCACTCTTATTTTAACCTCTCTTCAACAGCCACCTTTCCACAACGGCAACACCTACAGTTGAACAGCCACTTAAACTGGTGCCAACTGGCCAAAATAACCTCTCAACAATGGCCATTAATCAAAGACTGACAAACAGTGTATACGAAACCCCAATGCATCGTTAGTCTTTGTTTCTGTTAAGTTCTTATTCTACTGATAAATAGTTTTATTTTTTATATGCTTAAATAAGTATTTTTTGACAAAAATTGTTGTAATCCCGAAAAAAAAAGCTGGTATCATATTACACTCCTACCTCCCCATAACAGCCACCTCTCTCCAATAGCAACTTTCCTCCATTTCCAAGGTCACTGTTGTGGAGAGGTTCGACTGTGTCTAGAAGTTTAGTCAATCATCTTAGACATAAAAAGCTAAAAAAATCACTCTATTTGTCTTCAGGGATAAGCTCCTCAGTTCTGAAAAGTCATTAAGACAGCAACTGGAAACAGAATTAGCCGAGAAAACTGAAGAGTTATACAAGGAAAAAGTAACAAGTAAACATGGCGAGACTGGCAGATACTCTCCAATGAACATGACCAGTTTTGACACCTCATCAATCAAAGAAGAATTATCACTTTCACAACGTTTAAATCTACAGGTAATTTGTTTGTGTTTTACCAAAAAGTAATTTGATATCATGTATATTATAGGTTTTTTTCTAAGCCATCAGGCACTTATGCCCAGAAATGCACGTGGTAATGAAATTGGCAAATTTGATGAAATTTTGTCAAACTGAGTGAATGGTGATGCATCAGGCAATTTTGGCAAATTTTAGTCAAATTTGTCAAAACCAAATCAGCTTAGCAGAGTTGACAATTTGGCGACTTTTTGCCAGCCATAACTATGCAAATTATCTCATCAGATACAGTCCTAATATATTAGCAGATTTGATGAATTTGGCAAAGATTAATATGCAAATTACGTCATCAATTAGTTAATACCTTGTTTTGGAATGCCCAGGAAAGCCAAGACTTTGTTGAATGTCAATGCTTCTATATGCATTGTGTACCTTATAAGATCTTGGCAAATATTCTTGAAAAGAGTACACATAGCAGCTTTGTTGAGGACCTAAAGTGTTCTCAATGTTTTTGTTAGGATTTCACCTGGAGTCTAAAATAAACTCTTTTGGAGTCTTGTAAGAAGCTTGGCACGAAGAAGCATGCATGAACAGTGAAGATAGGAGTTTGGGAATAATGAATGAAAATTTATATATTTCTGTAAGGTTCCCAGAAGATCTTAAATCTTTGATGATCCTCAAGCAAAAATATTTTCATCCTGGGTATTTCAAAAAGCACTTGCTGTAGTACAAGCTGTACCATATCTTAAAGTCCCTATTATCATTACCATTGTCATCATCATCATTATCATTATCATCGCCAGCATCATTATCATTATCACCAGCTCAGCAGTAGCATCGTGATTATCACCACCAATATCATCCTCATCATTTCTCTTTGTACCAGAAACGTTTTGTACCAGTAGGTGTGAAAGGCCTCACTTAGCACATCTACATCAGTAGTTTAATAGATTCCCGTAAAGTGTCAGTGTTGATATTCTGTATCCTGTTAGCTTTCAGAGAAGTTATCAAAAGCAGAAGCTGAAATCCAGGCATCAAGGATGAGTCGTGACGAGCTGTTAGCTCAAACAGAGTCAAAAATTGCTGCACAAGGAGCAGGTATGAAGAGCAATTCAGCAGTGTAACTTGCTGCTAAAAAGCGACAATCTTGGTCAAATTGAATGAAAAATTAAGACAATCCCTCCCCCCTTTTCAATGATGGAAAAAATGCTGCATTTTGGTTGTGTTGCGAGTTCATCATAGATTTACAGGGAGGTGTGGTTTTATTTCTTTTTTTATTCTGACCAAGATTGTAGATTAATTCGATAACATACATTCTTGTGTATACCAGTCAAGTGATCTGTGTTTGACATCACCCTGGGCCTCCGTATTTAGTTGTTCCCTTTTGAGTTTTGTTTTCCCCAAGTTATAGATACACTAGATCTAGATCTTTTAATATCTAGGTACACTCTCAGATCTAATTTAGGGCCATGGTACATTGTAATTTTGAGTGACTCTTAGTTTCGATACCTGAGAACGCAGTTCAACAGTATGAAAGCTAGTAAATAATGCCTATCAAGGATTAAACATTCATTGAGAATTTAATTCTCTTGTCAAGTATTATCATCTGTCCTCATCGCGCTATGGGACGCATAAGATCCAGGTATAAATCATGATATTTTTAATGTTTTTGAAATGCTCTTTTGTCATTTACAGCTCTTGTTGAAAAAATATATCAAGCACAGAAAGAGCGTGATGCTGCTATGAATGCAAGACTTGAAATGGCTTACAGTGAACGAGAGGAATTATTGGACAAACTAAGGCGAAGTGAAAGAGAACACACAGGGTAGATACTGAATAATAGACTGTTTGAATATGTTCTTAATAGCTGGGTGTTGCTAAGTTTTTTTAGTTACTCAACCTGTTGAGTGCCTATATGATGTACACAGTACATCAAGATTTTTGCCTCTCAGGTGTCTATATGATGAACTGAGTACGTCAAAATTTCAAGAGATTTTATTAGTCAAACTCCAGAAACACCAGAGGTTTTCCTAGAGGCCATAGGTGGGTTTTCAAGAGACTGCTAATTTCCCATTGCTGTGACATCATATGGATATCAAATTAGGTCAGCCTCAGCAAAATCACCACATTGAAGAGATGCTTTTATGACCTTTCAGAAAATGTGTTCATGTCTATAGTTTAAACGAAAAGCTTTTGGCATTTGAAGTTTTTTTACTAGACACCCATTTTCAATGAAAATGTTTGGCACACACTACACCCAATGGTGTGGCACTCAAGGGGTTAAAAACTTAGTAGAGAGCTGATGAGAAATATAGAGGTGGTCATGGTAGCATGTCCCCAGCTCCCTAAGCATGTGCCCCCGAAATTTTGAAATCTATAGTCTAAGCAACCACTGCTTCTTGGATGCAGATTCCATAATAGTTTCCTGAGATGTGTGAGACTACATGTAGAAACTATTGACAGAAGTGAAAATATCCTAGGAGGTATTCCAGGAGTAGACTACAATTTTGGAATTATAGATCAACACACTCGGCTAAACCTGTCAAATTATACATCAATTGCAACCTGAAAACAGTGATGCTTTGCAGTTTCCTTCAGCAGTATAATTATTGATAACTGGAAGACTTCTCATCAGCAGGTAAGGTACATGTACAATGAGTTGAAAGTAGGTGACTGGAGATGACCAACTTACCCGTGGTTTTGGCCAGCTACTGACCTTTAATAACACCCCTGAATAAATAAGTGCTAGTCTACCAAATTTTTAAAATTTGGTAACAATTTTAAGACTAATAGATTGTTGTCTTTGATTGACAGATTTGATTCTGGTGTTGATAGCGTCTATGATGAAGAAGAAACTGAACCGGTATGTCCATACACTTGAAAAGAAATGTGATTCATGAACATCTTTTGAGTAAGCTTCTTCTAATACTACTGAACAACTCATGGGCCCAGTTATTCAAAGGCTGGATAATGCTATCCACTGGATAAATCGCTATCCAGTGGATAAGTGTTAACAAAACAAACCACACAATCTGCTGGATAGTAGTTTATCCCCCAGGGGGGGGGGGTACTTTGGGGATTTCTAGGTGGGGATGTGCCGCTGGAACCCTGGAACCCTTAGCCTTTACCAGAGCTAGTTCAGCTGAATTTTGCTACCCTATACTAGAGTAAACTCCTCAAATCCCTCCATCAATCGACACTGTTGAGGCTGATTTGCGTAAATTTAAACTTGTCAATTTGCTTTTTTTATATTTTTGAGTGGCAATTCCTGGTTTCCTTAGTCTAGATAAAATCTTCAACAAACTAGTCAGTTTTGTGACAAATTATACCCTGTTCTAGACCCAAACGCTCTGATTTATATACCCTATCTTAGAGTAAACTGCTTGAAAATCATACCCTTCATGGTGGCACATACCTATATAGCCCATATATGGCAGTGCCCCCCTCCCCCCGGGAGTTTATCCAGTGGATAGCGTTATCCACCTTTCAAACAACCTGGGCCTGGTTGCTCATATCTTGGCCGAAAAAATGTTTAGAAATACGTATATACTACTGTGATTTAAGATAAGATCAGACTGAATACTCTTTTACTGACCTTCAATTTACCCAACAGACCATGAGGTCACTACTAGGTAGAATAACAGCATCTGAAAGCCCCGAGGCAATTGATAAAAATGGTCACCTGATGGCTACCAAGATTAGAACAGTGCAGAAAAACAGAAAGAAAATGGTGACAGAAGAACTGAAGGCTGTTATTGCTGAAAGAGACGCTGCTGTGGAAAAGATAATCTATAATGGATAATTTTCTTTCATTCGGCAGGCAACAAACTAATTAAATTTAAAATATGGCGAGGTAGTCTTGAGGTAAATCCAAGCATTCTAATTGGTTCTTTCTTGGTCATGATTTTCCCATACATTGTTTGTAACATTTCCCAAGTATATTTTGTTTCATGCCATAATAAACCTCAGTTCAGTGGAATCTCGATTTAACAAAGGGCCAAGGGACTGGCAAAATATGTTCACTATAACAAGGTTTTGTTGTATCGAGGTTCTTTTCCATATTCTTTACCATTACTGGGGCCAGGAAAATCGTTCGTTGTACCTAGGACTTTGTCATATAGAGACTCATTAAATCGAGGTTCCAGTTTACTTACCGGTACTGGTACTAACCATACTTGCTCATGCCATCCTGAGGAATATTGGCCCTTGGTTGTTTGTGTACAGAACTCACTGCACAACCACGGGCCAATATTCCCCAGTATGGCCCGGTTAGTAAGAGGTTAACAGTAATCATGGTTTTGATGTAGGTATTATTTTCACATTTTTGAACTGTAGTAGTTAAACACTTATTCAGGTTTGGTCTAATGAGTTCTGATTGAGAGCAAGAATTGTCAATTGTATGTGTATCAATGTGTATTTCTGTTCCTCATATACCTACATATAGGCCAAAGCATTAGAAGCAGAGGTCATCAACCTTCGGAAAGAAATAGAACTAATGAAAAACCAGCATAAGGCAGTGGATAAACAAAGGATGAAGGCTATTCAGGTAACGTTGGAGTGGGTTTTTGGTTGACAAAGTTGCATTTGATTCCTCTGGAAAGATCAGTGGAGTTGAACATATCAAATTCTGAATTTTAGCCTGGTGGCTCATCAGGCTTATGTTTAGTTTCTGTAGCATGATCAACTTGGAGTATTTCTACTCTCCCTAACTGGATGCTTGAGCATTGTAGGGTTATCCTTAGTATTATTTCATCTGCGGCCATTTATACACCTGGGTGAAGAAAGGTATTGTGAGAGTTAAGTGTCTTCCATCAGCCAGAGCTCAAATTTAAACCGCTTGATCCTGAGTGCATGGCACTAGCCATCAGGCTACCAAGCCTTCTCCCCCTATACCCCCTTCCCCCCCCCCCCCCATACACACACACACACACACAAGATAAGAAGCGAGATTTAAGAACTTTGTTTTCATCTCAACAGACGCAGTCAGTCCAAGCTCAGCAAGAGAGAGATCTAGCATTGAAGAAATCAAAAAGACTTGAGGAGGAGATGGAAACTATTCGAGTTTATTACAGGTAAAGAATAGAACATGCAACTTGAATTACAATGTTTAGAGAGGAAGCCACATCAGTCTTAGCTGGTTTTCATGCAGGTCCTCTATCCTGGTCGAATTGGAATTTGGAGATGTTGGTTTTTGTGGAGGGAGGA